ATACTAGGCTAGTTTATATAAACATACTAGGCTAGTTTATATAAACATACTAGGCTAGTTTATATAAACATACTAGGCTAGTTTATATAAACATAGCCTAGATTACGCTTAGCGTGTAAAGAATTAGCTATATTAGCTAAAAATGCTATCTAAAGAGAAATTTCTTGCGCATATAGCTTAAGTATAGTCTTAATAATTACCTGCTCTTTTTTATTACCTAGCCTTTGTAATTTAGCTGTAGAATTAGCTTATAAAGGTTATCTAGCGCTATAGTTATTTATTGTTTTTTATAGAACCTTGCACATAGCTGCAGCATGTTTTTTAAGAGTTTTATGTCTTATTTAAAAGCTTAGAGTGTAAGCTGTATCTAACATTCTTTTAGCACGTCTAAGTAGTGTTATAGAGAATGCATTAGTGTAGAAAGAGTAGTTTAGTAGGGTCTTAGCAAAAGTAAGCAACTTAGGTGTGTAAGCAACTTGCTTATAAAGTACGTTAGAGTTTCTTTTTATTAGAGGTTTAGAAAGAAGTGTTTTTTTAGAGGGCCCTCTTACTAAAATAGCTAAGTAATAAAAGTGTTAAATATATTACCTACTTTTTACTTTATATTTTAAAAGTAATAGTAGTTTTTATACTATGTTAGAAAAGGATCTTAAGTAAGCTTATATACTTTAGTTTAAAGCTAAGCCTAGGTTTTAATAGTGCTTTTATTAATAGCGCAACTAATTAAGTTTTTATAAACTTTAAACTAGATCTAGTTAATAATTTATTAAGTTTAAGTAGTAAAGTTATTTAAAAAGTCTATATATTTTTAGATACTATTTATATCTTTTACTTAAGTGTTTACTTACTATAAAGTTAGAGACTTCTTTAAGAAGCTAAGCTTTAAAAAGGCCTTAATTTTAAACAGCTAACTTAGAGTCTTATCTAGGCTAGCTTAGAATTAGAGTTAATCTAAAGTAGTTTTAAAAAATAGGCTAAAAGTTATAAAAGTAATTTAGGCTTATTTATAAGCTTAACTAATTTTAGCTTTTAGAGCTCTTTTAGCCTTAAGCTAAAAGGCCTTTATAAAAAGTAACTATATAAACACTTTATTAGTTAAAAGTTGCACTAAGATAGTAGTAGAACTAGTTTAGGCCTACTCTAGAAGAGTACTATAGTGTATTATGTTTGCCTTTATTGCTAACAGTTGCTGTAAGTAGCTTATAAAGAGCTAACTAGTAGTCCTTAGAGTTCTAAAACCTAAAGAGCTTAGTGTAATAAAAGAGTTATTTAATCTTTATTTAGTGTAACTTAAAAAGTTTCTAGGTTTAGTTTAACTACATTTTTAAAAGTTTTTAAAGTCTTACTTATTCTTTAATTTAAAGACTTAGTGTTTTTTATTTTTTACTTTTTATACTTACTAATTTAGTAGAATTTAGTTAAGGCGCTAGAATGTAAGGTGCTTAAAGAGTTAAGCACTAGAGTTATTATAGGGCGTCTCTAGAACAGCCTTAGAAGAGGTAGTAGCTGTAGCCCTGCTTTTGCGTGTGCAACTGCTACTAGCTATTATTATTACAGCTCTTTAATTAAGGTAGAGCTTAAAAAGCAGTAGTAGAAGTAGCCTTTTATTCTTTAAACTAACTATGTCTCTATAAGAGAGTATAAAGGATTTAAATTATAAGAGCACTATAAAGCAGGAAGCATAAAGCGCAGAAGAGGGTATAAAATAGTATTAATAGACAAATCCTTAAGGAGACTTAGGGGTTTGTAAGAGGATATATATATGTGCTGGGGCACGTGACAGGACGTCATGTGCCCAAGGCTGGGCCGAGTCGAGGGCTCTCTAGGGAGAGTCTAAGGCATGTCTAAGTTAACCGTGACACAGCCCTGCCCTCTGCTGTTACCTCTATTCCTCTAAGTATTTAGTTATACCTCTTCTCTTAGCTAGCTTAGTAGTTTTCTAATATCCTTTTGTATAAGGCCTATAGGTGTTAATAATATTCCTAGGTTATTAAGTCCCTATGCACTTCTATATGCCTCTAAGTAAATTCCTACCGCATTTAGATCTATTGTCTTGCCTGCGCTGTTACAGCTGCTAGCTAAAAATAAAATTCTTATATATTTAGCTTAAGTATGTGCTTAATAATTACCTACTTTTTATTATTATCTAGCTTTTATAAGTTAGCTATACAATTAGCTTATAAAGGTTGTCTACTGTGTTAGTTATTTATTATCTTTTAAAAAACTTTATACATAGCTATTGTAACAGCGCGTACCGCGTCACATGCTCTACAGCTTCAGCTCCCTCGCTTGCGCAACAAGTAGCGCCTTGGCAGAGAGCACCTATGTATATCTTAAACTTGTAGAGCAGCTTCTCTGCTTCTTAGTTTAATCTAGTTAGGTTACACTACCTCTTGCTTGTAGCTTGAGCATGCTAATTGTAACAGCTATAGTATATTACTTTAAAACTGTTACGTCTTATTTAAAAGCCTAAAGTGTAAACTATATATAGCGTTCTTTTAGCATGTCTAAGTAGTGTTATTAGAAATGCATTAGTGTAGAAAGGGTAGTTTTATGTAATTTTAGTAAAAGTAAGCAACTTAGGTGTGTAAGCAACTTGCTTGTAGTGTGTAAGGCCGGATGTCCTAGAACGGGCCAGTATGGCCTCACCTGACCTGTGCTTCGTATATAAGCCTGAATCCTAACAAGCGAGGCTTGGCAGCGATTCGTCTCTCTTACAATACACTTCTATCTTTCTCCGAAACCTTGCTCTCAGTGCTATCCGTGTTATCTACTATCCTATCTTTACATAGTGTATGTTATACATAGCATTTTCTTTTCTTAATATAATAATATTTAATTAAAAAGCCTACAATATAGTAAGTATTACAAATTGTAAATTTCTAGTATGAAATTAATTAGAAGCTAAAACAATATTGCTATATCAAGTTATTATTTTATCGCGTATTGTACTATTAAGAGTAGACTATAGTATTTTATTTATATAAATACGATTCAGCTAATGATAGTGACAATTACCAGGTGGGAAAAGAATCATCACGCAAGCGTAAACACACGTGACCTAAGCGAGCCTATCTACTAGATCGTCTTCGTAAAAGTATTCGTGGCCATTAAGGCCATTACCCACCGCCCTTGCACTAGGATCCAGAAGGATCCTCTCCGTCTGCTTCTTCAAATACGGCGCGCTGGTTTTGGCCACAAATAGAGCATTAGTCGCCACAGCCCTGCTGAAGAAGCTCTGTGCTGTGTTTTTCCTCTCAGTGACACGTCGCGCGTAGGCCTCAAATTCGGCCTGGGTCAGCGTTGCAAACAGGAAGCGTGCATGCACACCGACAGCCTGAGCACCCTTCTGACCAAAGCCAAACGAGGTGACGCTGAAGGCGTTGATGGCGGCCCTACATAGAGTGCGGTTGGGGAAAGTCAGCAGAGCAGCGTCATGGCGCAGAGCGGCGTCAACGTCGTCAATGTTTCGGTTGCCCGGTATGAGGCCGGAGTTCAGCATCTGCAGCGCGCCGTTCAGCATCCACGCGCCCGCCGCACCTTTGGAGTGACCTGTTAAACTCTTCTGGCACACAGCTGGCACCACGTTGCCGGGCGCGCGACCCAGGTGTGTCAGCTGCGCCTGCAACACTTGCGGCTCGTTGATATCATTGAGTCGCGTTGACGTGCCGTGGAGTGACACGACACCAATGTCATCAACCGTGAGGCCCCACACTGCGAGCGCCCCGCGCAGCGGCGAGATATTGCTCTGTCCCTGCTGCCAAAAGGCATTTCCGAAGATGCGTTGGGCAGCGCGCGTCAGCTGCTGTGCTTCATGCGCAATATAATCTTTGCGTTCGCGCAGCCGCTCAGCCTCCGCTGCGTCGATGCTGCTGCTGTTGAGCTCTTGATTCATCATGTCGATTTCAAGATTGGCCGAGTTCTCAATTTCGCGCTTGCGGAGCGCGAGGCGCCGACAGCGGTAGTGTATGTCAAGGAGGGGAGATGGGTATCTCGAAGGCGCTTCTGCCGCTGTGGTGAGGATGCCTTTGCCAGGCGCTGGCACAGAGCGGGAGATGGAGTCGCTGGCAGTTGATGCCAGTGCGACGATGCCGTAGATGGGCAGCCCCATGTCGAGTGCGAGACGGGCGGATGTAATTACCTGGACTCCCGACCCTGCTGATTCAACGAAGCCATTGCGTGTCGTAGTAGTTGGGCGCGACATCTCTGCTGGTATACGTCCTTTTTCGACCTCGTTCTCCGCATCCACAGTCGCTCTCATGTTAGCGAACTCGGCTGAGACCTCGTCGGTAAGGTCGTCAAACCCGCCGACTAAACACATCTTCGCCTTGCCGCTGACAATTGTCTCGACACCTGTTTCCAGGGATTCGATCGAGGTTGCACAGGCTCCAACTGATGTGCGGATGGGCCCAGACGACGACAAGAGCAGCATGTTGACCCACGCTGGTGTCGTGTTGATGAAGCTCTCAGCCATGACATCGCTCTGTACTGGCTTGTCCATCTTCCTGTCCAGGAACATCTTCTTCAAAGACGAAACGCCGCCAAGCCCAGAGCCCAGCATGTTCCCGATCTCAGACAGGTGAATGTACTTGTACAGCTCAAACGGGTCAGTGATGCCAGCTCCCAACAGTGCTTCGCAGGTGCTGATCAACGTGTACAGCGTGACTGGATCGACCTGAGAAACAATGTCCTCGGGAATGCCGTATGTGCGCGGATCCCAACCCTGGGGGAGCTGGCCGGCGACCCTCCGTACTGCACCCAGAGCTTTTGGTACCAAGAGGCTAGCACCCTTTCTGAACTGTACTAGGACTTCCTCACTCCCTCCCTCGTCTTCGTCGTATACGTCAATCTTGTGGCCGTGCTCGCGCCGTAGTTGCTCCGCTATGTCACGTGGCACGGAAAGTGGCGGCAAGTCTTCCTCAATCACCATCTCCTGAATGAGCGAATGCCCCTTTCCTGGCTCCTCTGGCAAAAACCTGATGCCGCTATTCTCCAAAATATGGCGCTCGTAGCGGTCCTTCATATCAGCAGGATGCACCGGTTTGCCTGTTTTGGTGTCCACCCAGCCGTGGTACTCTTGTCCATCAAGCGGCCCATCGTGGTTCTTGATTAGGCCCATAAGCCATGCCATTTCTATGCACCCCTCAATCGACAGCTCGCCTTGCGATTCCATTTCCCAGCGCGTACGCGCGTTGCCCCAGGGCCCCAGCTCCGCGAAGCCGGTTATCACAACCACCGAGTCCAAATCGACCATGCCATTCAAGTCCTTGTGTAGGGGCTCAATGTCCTTATCCCAGTCCGGCAAGGATGGGAAGGGAAGACGAAGGTTAGGCTGCGGTCGTAGGACAGGAAGCGGATCACTAGCAGTCTCGTAGCCCTTCTCATCTTCCGCTTCTCTCACCATGGCCTCCTTCAGGCTCCGTTCTGAATCCAAAACACCGCGGATGCTCCTGAGCGTCTCCTTCAGGTTGGGCACGGCGTCCAATCCGCCGGTGAGGTCGGCGAAGATGGGCCTGTCTTCGCACTCTTGGGCCAGTGGCGCGTTTATAAGCACTAGAAGTAAAGTCGCTATCTCGCACTGCGTGAAGGTGCGCACACCAAGCGCCTCAATGCCCCCAGCTAGCGTGTCGTTGCCGGCCATTAGACCTGTTCCACGCGTCCAGCCGATCGAAGCACCGCACAGCGTCAGGTACGGTGCCCAAGTCTCTGAGTACCACTTGTCGAACAGCGGCTCGAGACCGATCTTGGACTCGGCATACAGTCCATCACCGCCAAATGCGCCGTGGTTAGGTGACAGCGGCAGGAGGACCTGCGCAGGCCGGCACAACACTCGCCGGCTCTCTTTGTGCTTTTTCACCACGCCTAGAAGTCGCACAACATTTACGAGCATGATGCGGTGCGCCAGCTCTGATTTGGCGTCGATGCCATCCACCTCATGGCCCGCTTCAGGAACAGCGGCGAAGGGAACGATGTGATCGACGTCCCATCCTAAACCGCCGTCAGAGGCGTCGAAGATGAAGGACACGAGACTTTCAATGTCTTGCTGGCTGCCCTGATTGAACGGCACAACAACAAGCTCGGATCCGCTTGCGCCATGCTGTGTGTAGGCATCGCGGTAAGCTCGCAGTGCAGAGGGCGAATAATGGCTCGTAGTGACCACCACACGCGCGCCAGCAGTCAGTAGCAGCTTCAACAGCTCGAATCCAATGGAGCGTGTGCCGGCGCCGGTCAGGAGCACTGTTTTCTCCTTGAATGAAGGGCAGGAATGACAAGTCTCGTGTAGGACGTGGTCGAAAATATTGCTCAGGTTATCGTCCGTCTGCCACTGTTGCGCTGACGTTCTCTCCTTGAGCTGGACTCGTGGGAGCGACACGTCTTCCTCTGTCCGCGGTGCCTCTTCGAACACAAATTTTCCACGCTGGTCGACTAAAGTCCTGGGCTTGGTATCCCTCAGACACGCTCCCGCGAACGGTAGCGCACTAACTCCCTCGACCCTCGCCTCTCTCATCAACTCCCGCACCTTCTCCAAAATTTCCATTGTGGCCTTGTCGTCTTTGGTTTTCGACACGAGGAAGTCCACAATCTTCTCGAGCCGTTCGTCCCCGCGCCTGGCAATCATCTCACATCGCGCAGCAACAGCAGTAGCAGAGTCGTCAACATATGCCTCGACGTCCGCACCGCCGCCACGTGATGCCTTGCCTTGCACTGCCTCAAACAGGTCTTGCACTGCCCAATTCCACGATGAAGTGAACCTGCGCACCTTTCGAGCGCTGAATACTGGCCTCACGCCGCCGACGAACGCATCCCCCAGCTCAGCCGTCAGCGCCGCGAGTTCAGCGCCTAGAGCGTCGCGTTCGGCACGCATGAGGTGGAGGGCTGTGGCCTGCTCGGCGTTTCTTCCGCTCTTTCCATCTCTGTTTCCATTCGCGGCTGTCTGCCCGTCCTCATTGTGGTGGAGTTGCTGTACATGCTGAACATTATTGTTGTCGGAACTGCCGCCCTGTTTTTGATCACGATGAGCTGCGTCCACGACAACGAAATCTAGTCCCCGCTCAGCAAAATACTTCCGCACGGTATCGTCAAATAGTGCCTGTGCCTCCGAATCCGACACCAGCCTTTTCTGTTGCTGCTGGCCGCCACCCGAAGAGTAGCTCGCCGCTCGCAGCAGCACCATTGACTGGTGACCTGGCGGCAGATTCCACATCGTCTGCATGTGTGCGCGCGCCCGCTTCTGTGTGTAGCCGGGTGGCATCCGGGCGGCAAAAAAGTGGGCCAACAGGCTTGAGGAGACTTTTCCCAGGGTGCTGCTGTCTGGCGACTGGAGGGTGACACTGAGATCGGCCAGCGGAATGTCTTCACTGCGATCTGGGAGCGAGGTGGGAAATTCGGCGCCTAGGTCGCCGATGAGTTCGTTTTCGAGCGTGGAACGGCCTGCGAATGTCAGTTCTGGAGCAGTAGACTGAATGAGGCTTTGAGTTGGGGGGTGGGAGTAAAGGTGGGGTCGGTACGTGGTGGTTATCTTACCTCCTGTCAGTGTTTTGATTGTATGTGCTCCGTTGATCTCATGGCATGGCTTCTTGAGCTTCGAAGATATGATGGCGGTAAGGATGTCTCCCGCAGATATAGGGACATCAGGTATCTCCAGCATGGGAGCTGCTGGCACGATTGTCTGCCGTGGCGCTGCGACGGGAGCGTCGGGCTGTTGGGATTGAGATGGTACTGCACCTTTAGATGCACTCTTTTCGGCCGTTGGCATCTCGGTAGCTTTCGGAAGGACGACTTCAGTAACGGCATTATTTGTTTCTTCGAAAATCTTCGCAGCGTCGGTCTGATGGCACAGAACCTCTCGCTTGCGCGACCGAACAGCGTCTGCGATGCTGTACTGGGAGGCCAGCGTCTTCTTCGCCATTGCCGCCAGGGTGTTGGTCGGACCTATTTCGATAAGGCGGTCGATGTTTTCCTGCCCAAAAAGAACTTGTTGCGTCTCTATCCTGTATGGCATGAGCAAAGTGCGCAGGGAAGGAAGCTGAGGGGCGGCTGGGTTCATACCATCTCACTGGCATTGCGAATTGGTAACTATCAAGGCCTGGTTAGATATGTCTACCTTCAAAGGTCACAGGTCAATTTACGCTAAGAGCTCCAGAAGGAGCGCGTACGAGATGTCGTTCTCGATTTCTGGATGCATGGTGGTGGTCGCGCAATAGCAGCGGGTATCAAGATGATGCGAAAAGATAGGAGCCTAGAGACGAGAAAGAGTCTGAATTGAAGGAATCGCAAGATCGTGGACGGAGCGACGGGTGCGACTATGTGAGTAGCCCAGAAGCCATGGGCCGTATTGCTGCCATGTTCTGATGGAGCACGGATGTCCCATTAGTAGTCTATTTCCAGACATGTCGTAATGCAACCCAGTCTGCATCTCAGAAAAGTAAGTCATGAGGAGTTTCCGCCCCCCGTCTGACGTCGGAGTGGAAAGCGGAGGACTAAGAATCAGGCGGGCAGTGAGGCTGATGCGGGCTGCGGGGGGCAATTTCTGACTCTCGAAATCAGCGTACGACTGAGCTCTTACTCTGCGAATGCCTACGTTTAAGATGGGATACAATCACTTCCGCTTGTGCGAAGAAGCTTGTGCCAATTACCAACATCTTATAGTTGCAGGGTTATTCTCTCATCGTTGCTGTAATAACTCAAGCATACTCTTTACTGGAACTTTATCAGAATGTCGACAACGCAAGCATTCCCTCCTCCACCAAAAGAGGATATTGGTGAGTACTGTCAGATCAGATGACGAGACTGAGGCCACCCACGTACGCCGAGTCACTGACACAATCACGTGACACAGATTGGGCCAAGCTTGGTGCTTCTGCCGTTGAAGGTAGCCACTCCTCATGGAGAACTGCCGTTCAGAGCATGTTACACTGACAGGGCGCTGCTGCAGACGACGGCCATGCCGAGTGCCAGTACGATGCGAAAACGGGGTGCTGGAGCGAGCCTGTGCTGGTCAAAGACGCATACATCAAGGTCCATGGCCTGGCTCCAGGCCTGAATTACGGTACGTTGCAGCGCGTACTGGTCCACGGTGAATGCTGAACTTGTGCAGGAATGCAGGCCTACGAGGGCATGAAAGGTACTTGATCCACCACGCTGACAGTGTAGATGCTGAAACCACACCGAGCCTACCGCAGCCCGGAAGACCAAATCTACGTCTTCCGCCCCGCCGACCACGCCGCGCGCATGGTCACATCCTGCGCCACCGTCTCCATTCCTGCCATCCCGCCCCCAATCTTCCTGCGCGCCGTGAACCTGGCCGTGGCCCGCAACGCGCGGCTCGTCCCCCCGCACGCCAGCCCCGCGCTGCTATACATCCGGCCCGTCGCATTTGCATGCGATGCCCATCTAGCACTGACACGGCCGCAGCACTTCCGCTTCGCAGTCTATGTAGCGCCAGCGACGGCGTACCACGGCGTGGCTGCGAGCTCGCAGGACGTGCTGGTCATGGAGAGTTTCGACCGTGCGGCACCGCGCGGGACCGGGCATGCCAAAGTTGGCGGTAACTATGCGCCTGTTGTGCGCTGGAGCGACGATGCTAAGGCGCGCGGTTTCGGCTTGACGTTGCATCTGGACAGCCGCACTCAGACCGAGGTCGAGGAGTTCTCGACGTCGGGCTTTGTCGGCGTGCGCTGCGAGACGGGGGGTCGCCGCTTTGTGCTCACTGTGCCGGATAGTGAGAGTATTGTTGCGAGCGTGACGAGCGATAGCGTGCTCGCTTTGGCCAGGGCGAAGGGGTGGGGAGTAGAGAAGCGGAGGGTAAGTCGTGTGGCACGCTCTGATTTGCGTCGTGTCTGTACTGACCGCCCTGTTCGCACGCAGATCCACTTCTCAGAGCTGCGCTACTTCTCCGAAGTTTTTGCCTTGGGGACAGCCGCGGCACTCGTGCCCATCAAGTCTATTACTCGAGAAAGCACGGGGGATAAGTTTGTGTTTAACGGCGGGAATGCAGGGCCAGGGCCTTGTGCGACGGAATTGACCCATGCTCTTACGGACATGCTCAAGGGACGCTCATCCGATGAATTCGGGTGGAGGGTTCGTGTGCAAGACGTCCCTGAATCTACGGTCTTGGACGCAGCAGACGGAGTTGCCTCTGACAGGTCCGATGTCTACGACGATAGGAAGTCTCTACCCGCCCTGGATATGGTGCAAATCAAGGCCTAGGAATACCGTGTATATAATTTCGCTTTCTGGAGCTCTAGCAAGATTTATTGTCTCCTAGTAGTGAAAGGATAAGGTGCGTGTAGATATTCGGACACCCCGTTCCTAAGTATACGCGTACGATTTGGTGTACTATTCTGATGTGTACGCTTGCGCGCGCAGGGGCCATGAACACCAAACTACGATCTCTATCAACACCACAGCAACATCACGAGCAGATGCTACACCCTGCTGCAAATAATGAAAAGGGTGCAGAAATTAGCTGCGAAACCGGCCATCTATTCATATCTTCCTGCGACATTGTGGCTGTTGGTGCATCGCGCTATAGTGTTCTGGTGGTGCTAGGTAGCCCCTGCGCTGGCCCCTGCGCGTGAGCGTACATATAGGACTGTTCACCTGGGCGTATATATAGGAACAGGTGTACGAATATCCGGGGGTACGATTAACATGCACTATTACTTACCCTAGAGATTTCAAAGTCTAATAGCCTAATAGATACCTTAGGTATAAAGATATTTACATAAACAAAGTATTCGTAAGCAGACTATATCTTTACGTAATAGTCCTATAAGATTCTAATAATCTTATAGATTTATTATAACAGGTCTTTTAGTACCCCCAGTTGTCAGATATAAGCCCTCTCGGGTTGTATAAAATGATTGCACAAAGATTGCACGTTGGGTGTTGATAAAAATGTATTGTTCATTGTTCGTCTCGTCCCCTCTAAGACTGAAGCTGCAGAGTTTTATTGCCACAACTAAACAAGTGATTATCACGTGAGCATAGATGTTAGTCCATGCATAATCTAACACTAGTACTACCAGCCTCCATGGGGTCCTCGGTTCGCCTACGGGACAGCCTCGGGCCTAGCCCGGTGTAACTACGGGTCACGTGATGGCTAGTAGTATATATACATCCTCGGGTCTTGAGCCTTGCTCCTTAAGAATTAGTCTTCCATCTTCTTCTCGGAATACTATCGTACACCCCCCTCTTCTTGTCCCTCAAGAGTCCTGTCTACGTGACACCCTTACATATATCTTCCGTATCTCTTGTAGAGACATACAACTATAAAAGCCGTCCAGGTTGTGGACTGCTTTCACACAATAGTAGTAGAAAATATTCATCTCCCTAAAGATTTTCCTTCTAAACTTCTATAACAAGTCGAAGAGCACTTCTAAATACACCCTAAGGCAATTATTACGAAAAGCAGTATAGAGCAAGACTAAGTATAAGGAGTATTAACATGTAAAGCAAACGCTCACGGCTGACCCGCCACCCCTACCATTCCCAATCGACGCCTTGAGAACTGCAACAAGGGCCCTTTCTTGATACTCGTGATGCCCCCGTGAAACAGCTGGTACTCGTCGGGGTCGTGCCGGCCTAGCACGCCGCTGTCGGGATTGCCGCCGCCCACATCGCCTGCTGCGCCCGTAGCTGGCCGCATATCCATGGTCCATAGTACGGTGGCCATGGTCAACATGAGCTCGACTAGCGCCATGCTCTTGCCCACGCACCCGCGCGGGCCGGAGCTAAAGACGTGCATAGCCTTGTGCTGAACGCGCCGGGTCTCTGCCTCCCCTTTGTCGTCGTTGTCATCGCCAATCCAGCGCTCCGGCATAAAGGCGTGCGGACGCACAAAGTAGTTTGGGTTGTGGTGTATGGCGTAGATGGAAGTTCCCACGTCGGTGCCGGGCGCGAACATGTGCCCGTCAATACTGATGCCGCCGCTGGCCGCCACCTCGCGTAACAGTGAGCCGCCAATGGGGGGCGTCAGGCGTAACGTCTCGTCAATGCAAGCACGTAGGTAGGTGCATGAGTTAAGGGCAGCGCCCGGGCGGATCATGTCGCGCGTGGTAAAAGCATTGCGGACTTCGTCGCGGGCGCGCTGGTAGGCGTATGGATGGCGCCCGAGGTAGAAGAAGAGTGCGCAGAGGGCGGTGGCGGTTGTGTCGGAGCCTAGATGCTTTGTCAGTGTCTGCTTGCAATGTGTGCGAGGATTAGATAGTTGATTTGACTCACCGGCAATTACGAGGGTGGTGCTATCAGCATTGATTTGTTCGGTGTTGAGCCCCTTGCCTGTATCTACGTCGCGCACTTTGAGAAGTGCGGAGAGGACGTCCCTAGCATTGTCTGCGGGCTTCACCCGATAGCGATCGTGGAGTAGCTTTCCCATAAACATCAGAAACGCATTACGGGCCGCAATGGACGCCGGCAACAGTTTCTTGTCAAGCCGGTTCCACATTAACTTAGGGAAGTACAACAAGATGGTGGTTCGGATGTTAGCAATTGCAATCGCGTCGATGACGTGACGATGCGCCTTGCTCCCGATCAGATCATACTTCAAGCCAAAAACGACTTCGGTCATGATGTCGAACAGCAGATAGCTGCTCCACTCGGCCATATCCTGCAGCTCTGACCAGCTGCCATCAAGAGGTGCTAGTTGCTCGCACAACGCATCAACATGTCTCATGACTGTTGGTTCATGAGCACGCATGGCTGCATCACCCATACCTTGTCCGATGAGCCTGCGACGAGCAGAATGCTCCTTCCGGTCTCGGATGGTGAGCACGCTGGGAGTGCGATGGACCATGGCATTGTAGCTTTTGCTTTTGATTACCTTTTCGCCGGAGCCATAGATATCTGCCAAGTTGCGTTAGAGCGTGCAGTTTGAATTGCCGGAGCTGGGGTGATTCGCACCTTTCATGCCCGCAACGGTGTTGACAAGAACAGTGTTAGGACCGTATCGCATGAAGGCACCTAGAGAGCAATAAGTGTCTAGCTAAAAACTAGAAGCCTCACTAAACTGACCATATTTTCGGTGACATCTCCACATGTCGATGTGGATGTCTTGCTTCCATGCATGATAGGCAGCGTAAGCATTAGTCAATTTCGCGAGGAAAGGCCCAGGGTATTTAGCCAGAGGATGAAATTTGACTTGGTATATTATATATGAGAGAAGCTATGCGTATAACTGATTAGACAGCTCAGAGACAGAGATGTGGTGTGGTGTACTTACCGCTATGGCTAGCAAGCCAGATGCTAAAGTGAGGAGAGATGATAGGTACATCTTGTTTTTGGTTCGGTGCTAAGTGGACATGGACTAGGAGGGCCATGTAGGACTCAAATATGAATGAGCGTGGCAAAAAGCATTCTTAGACCGAGTGAAAAATCCATAGTAGGATGATTCTGATGCTATGTTCCTGATGCTATGTTCCTGGGGGAGGGGGGTGGGGGTGTCAGAAAATGGGGCCCGGGGAATCAGACGGCTGGACGCATAATAAGATCTTGTGAGCTGCGCACTTTGTGCTCAGTCCACCGCCCGCTCGATCACCATGTTGCAGTCAAGGATCCGAAACTCGCCGATGGTGGGCTTTGCGGTCGTTGTTGTTTGCGCCACGCGAATGCTGTTCCCAGGCATCGGCTTTGCAACGCTTGTCGCAATACTCGTTGGTCTCTCCAACATCAAGGCATTCCCCTTCGTCTGGCATGTGAGTTTCCCCAGCCACCAACAGTAAGCCAGAAGACCATGATTGACCAATTCATCCAGCTTCGCGTCCTCCCCGGATTCGTCCTGACGCCCACTCCTCCCTCTGCCAGTGCCAACAAATGCAGCCGTCTCTTCGCGCCGCACACGTGCACCTCGCACACCCCGCTCCTCGAAATTGATTACAACCTGCACAAATCCAACAGCACCTACTTCAGCGACCTAGACATCTCGCGATCCCGCTTGCTCCTCTCTCTCTTCCGCGCCGGTCTGGCCCGTCTCACCCAGGACCAACCCAATGCGCCCTGCACCATAGCCCTTGGCGGCGCCGCGTGCAACTTTCACAAGGCCATTCCGCCGCTGGGGCGTTACCGCATGGTATCGCGCGTGCTGTGCTGGGACCGCAAGTGGCTGTACGTGGCCACCCAGTTCCGCTCTGCGGGAGAGGATCAGAGGGAGGGAGGCGGGATCGTTTTTGCCACCGCTCTGGCGCGGTATGTTGTCAAGGCGGGCGGGCGGGTGACGGTGCCGCCAGAGAAGCTACTCGACGCATCAGAGCTGCTTGGCGCCGAGGGCAGTCCCGCGCGGAAAGAGGCAGAGCGGAGGCGCGAGCGGGCATTGCGGTATGTGCAGGGGTTTGCGGCCATGGATGAGTTGCATGGCGAGTTTGATGACTCAATGGATCCGCTTTAGCGTCAACAACTTGTAAAGATAGACTTTTCTCCTTCTCAAATCACGATAGATTATTACAAACAAGGCAGACTCAACACAAGAGATTGGCTCGGATGACACTTGTTCTCGTATCTTCTCTCATTGCCGGCAGCCAGCCTGGATCCCAAATCCTCGAATGCGCAAATAGAGATGTAAGTCACGACAGCGCTGACTCGCCAGACTGAGGGTGAGCATACCAAAAGAAACAAGTTGAAGTGTGGGATCAGAAAATCATGCTTGCACAGCCCGACGGGAATCAGAAAAACTGATCCCAGGTGTTGATAGAGTTCTGACGTCAGAACCCCTGCACTCACGCGGAAGCACCCGAGGCGCCTTGGCGCACGTCAACTCTCCATCCAAGCACAGATTTCAGCATTCTCATACCACAGGCTACAGGGCCTTCTCATGAGCGGGCGTCTAGCGTCGCCCGGGCCATGGCGCCGTACCGATTATGACTAAAAACTGTAGTTTTCTATGAAGATTACAACAAAAAAGTCATCTAATAATCATCTACTACTTGGTATGCCTGCTACCTGCCTGGATAACTGCCTAGCAGCGCTCTTGCATAGATTAAATATACTTTCTATAGTTTTTAGTCTTAATCTTCTCCTACTTCTTCTTTAGAAACTGCTGTACTTTGTTATTTGTCTTTAAAAAGCCCTTTCTAAGCCGCTACTTTAGCATTTGCTTCACATTTTTAATTAGATTATGTGAAGCTATGTGAGGCACCAGGGGCATGAGGAACTGCATTGAATGTATTGCTAGAGGAGTCCTTTGCAGGAGTCTATATATATGCGAAATAAGTGGGTGAGTCGTGGCAACAGACTATGCTGAGATGCATACGACTATGGTGCCGACGCATGATCATCGTGTGACGACACATCCGACTATCGTGCGACTATGGTGACGACGCATCCGAGTGTCACCACTGCAAACAGATTAAGATCTAGTAAGTTTACTAGCTACTAGTTCTTTATAATCCCTTACGCTTTATAAGCCTTTACAGTAGCCTTAGATTTATATATAAAGCTATTATTTTTTATAAAGATAAGCTCTTTGCTAGTGTAAGTTTTATATACCTACTAGTAGGTAGTAATTTAAAAAGAATGTGTTAAATATAAATTTTTACGTTAACTATACTCTTAGCATTTATACACTAGCTATTTTTAAAGAATGCTAAAAGCTTTTTAGTGTTTATTAAGATAATGCTTTACACTATATAGCTACTATACTTCTTAAACTTAGAAATGCAGTAGTTAGGTAAAAAGTACTTTTTAGCTTTATAAGAAACCTAGATCTTTTTTAAGCTTACTTTAGCTAATATTTTATTAGCCTAAGCTAGTCTATTTTATATAGCTTTAGACTAACTAATGTGCTTTTTATGCCTACTACAGCCTTGCAGCCTTGTGTTCTTTAGTAAGAAGAAGCTTACGCCTAGCTTTTCTATAATAATAAAGCTTCTTCTTAAAGGCCTTAATTAGCAATTAATAATAGATGTTAATCTCTAGCTTATAGGCTATCTTCTTTTAAGTTTTTTTAATGTTGTTTAGTGTTCTAAGTAGCATGCTAAATAAGATGATGTTAAAAAAGTGTATTTTATATAGAGCTTCTACTCTTCTGTTTTGTAGAGGTACATAGCAAGTAAAGATAATAAGAAATAGTTCTCTAAAGTACACTAAGTTTGTAGGCAATAGCTGTCTACTTCTATTCTAGTTTAGCTAGTGGATAGATTTAAACGCGTTTCTTGTAGGTAAGTTAACAAAGAGGTGTTTTTAGCATTATAGTAGATGACAGTAGTAGAAAAGTTACTTCTAGTTGTATAGCCTACCTTATATACATCTGTGTATTTGATCTAGAAGCTTTATGGCGCTTCTATGCACAGACTAAGGCTGTGCTAATGCTAGTCGCCTGCTTATAAAAGGGCTCTATACTTAAGAGTATTTTAGTCACGTAGTCTAATACCTGTTCGAGAAGAAGAGACTATGGAGTTTATGCACTAATAAGTTAAATCAGCTGCTTCTTAGCCTCGCTTATCTACAGACAAGCCTAATTAAAATTTCTTATACTAACTCTCTATACATGCTAAACTTATTTTAGTAAAGTATATACTTTTTTAGCTCTAATTACATGCTTATTATTCTCTAGCTCTTCTTACAACTTCCTGTAGTATTATTCTCCTCTGTAGCAACTACTATGTTGTTAGGGTAGTGTTACAATTCTTGCTCGTAGGGGTCCTGACTTGGGATACCTTGAGCACGCGGGCCAATGGGGGGTGATGAGGTGACAGTGAGGGAACCTTCCTCGGGTGTACGGCCCTTGGTGTGATTCCGGACAAGGAGGGGAGTAGATGGCCGAATCGTGGTTTGCCCTTATGACAGCGGTATGGGCGCTGGGTCAAACGGTCCTGGGGACAGAAGTGGAGGTATATATGGTACAAGATATACAACTAGTATTGCAGCTTGTTGTAAAGCTAGAATGCTACTTAGTCTATATAAAGATAAACTAAACTTTAATCACACCCTCTTAAGGTTAATTATTACTGTTCTTTATATACAGTTGCTCTTGTGCGGTGATTGCTGCCTTAGCCTTTGCTAAGCGTTATAGTCATTGCGATCACTGCAATCCCTTCTGTAGCAATTGCTGTCTTAGCCCTTGCTAAGTGTTACAATTGCTGCGATCGCTGCGACCTTTCGCGCGGACTTCCTACTAGACGATGCACTCGTCTAGGGCCTGATTTGATAGGTCATCGTCTGAGGGGAGGGAGGGGTCGTTCGGCTCCTCCCATTCGAGCATAAAGGGGTTCCAAGCTTGTTCGTCTAAGAGGTGGGGCTGGATACCGGGATTCCGCATGGTCCACTCGTGGACCGTAACAGGTAGCACTAAGAACTGTTACAACTGCTAGTTAAGCTAGAGGAACATGCGAGTCTCTAACCCCACAGAGGAAGGACAGACCGAGGCTGGTGAGGGCACGGCCCGCAGAGATCACATCACGTGATCTCTAAGACAGCTATAGCGCACGTACAGAGCTTAGGTGAATGATTGTAGAAATATTCTGCGATCACGCCTTAGCATTTACAATTACTATCATCACTCTTAGGTATATAGTCTTAACTTCTTACTACTTGTAGAAGGTTGTAGTGATTCTTTACTACAGGACACAGTTCTAGGTATAGCAATATATCGAATATCCTTTCTAACTAGTGTAACAAGGTAGGCATAGTTAACTACGTAGCCTTCTCTTGCTTAGAGGTTTAGGCTAGACTAGAGACAACTGCTAGTGCTAGTGCTAGCTCTAGCATTATCTAAATATATATTATACTATGTGAGAATACTTAGCTTAAGTATTCTTGTGTGTACCTTTTAGTACAGTAGAGAAATTTGTATAGTATTAACTTAACAGAGATAGCGCCTACCTTATTACAACTAGAAGTATTGTAAAGAACTTTTTTTCTATTTATAAAAAGCTTTAAATATATTAATCTTACTTTTTTTTTACTTTAGCTTTACTTCTTTTTTTTTCCCTACCTTGCTGCTACTCTACAAGGATTGTACAAAGAACTGTATACTCTCTAGGCACTATTGTAAGTTAAGGTATTATGTAACACACTATCTTCTTAAACCTCTTCTTCTTCTCTTTTATCTTTATTCTCTAAAGAGACCTGTTACTAGCAGAAGGCACCTAGCAATAGAAAAGTTAAGGTAAGATATTGTAACAGAAGCTAGATAGTGTTACAGCTATAAGTATTTTATATTCTATTATATTTAAATCGCTTTTTAATAGTGTTTAAAAAGTATTTATAGGTAATTAACTATACTACTATCTTTCACATTACGTAATTCTAGAAATTTAATATTGTTAAGAATGCTCTATATAAGCATTATAGTAAACAGCTAAATTAGCTGTAACTGTAACAAGGTAGGCATAGTTAACTACTAGCCTTCTCTTGCTTAGAGGTTTAGGCTAGACTAGAGACAACTGCTAGTGATAGTGCTAGCCCTAGCATTATATATATATATATTATACTATGCGAGAATACTTAGCTTAAGTATTCTCGTGCGTACCATTTCGTACAGTAGGGAAAGTTGTATAGTATCGGCATGGCAGGCAGGGCGCCTACCTTACTACAGTAACAGTGTGTTACGATATCTTACCTCGACTTTCCTATTGCTAGGTGTCTTCTGCTGGTAACTAGTCTTAGTAGTAAGGGGTAGGAGAGGAGAACATAGGGAAGGGTTTTCTATAAAAAAAAAGGGGTACGTTTTTATATACTTTAACTTACAACAGTGCTTAGAGGGTGTACAGTCCCCTGTGCTATCCTTGCAGAGCAATAAAGAGGTAGAGGTGGTAAGAAGGTAAGGTTAAGTAATAAAGATGTAATAAGGTAGGCGCTCTACCTGCTAAGCTAATACTATACAACTTTCCGCACTGTACTAAAAGGTACGCACGAGAATACCTAATCTAAGTATTCTTACATAGTATAATATATATATATAGATAATGCTAGGGCTAGCACTAGCACTAGCAGTTGTCTCTAGTCTAGCCTAAACCTCTATAAGCGAGAGAAGGCCACGTAGTTGACTGTGCCTACCTTGTTACAAAAGAAGTATAATAACTAATGCGTTTATACTATTGTAAATAGAAATAGTCTTTACACGCTTCTGTCTAGAAAGGATATTAGATATATTACTATACCTAGAACTATGTTCTGTGAGTAAGAATAACTACAACCTTCTATTAAAGATAGAAGGTTAAGACTATATACCTAAGGTGATTGTAGGATTTCTTAGAGTAGTTGTATCTTAAGCTTGTAATTACTTTACTAAGTTTTATAATTACTCTACTAAGTTCTCTTGTATGCGCTATACCTATTTTAGAGCATTATATAATGTAACCTTATAGGCTGTGCCTCTACTAGCGTTAGTCTGTTCTTCCTCTATAGAGTTAGATACCTGTATGTTCCCTGTATGTTCTGCTAGTCTAACTAGTAGTTGTAACATCTACTCTTCTCTCTCTATAAGCTTTACTTTAAAGCCTATAGCTTTAGTCTCTTACTATGCTACCTTTTTTAAAAGTTAAATACATTAGTTTCTTTTCACTTTTTATAAGCTTACTTTTCTTTTCCCTTTTCTTTTTTACTAATAGCTTAGACACGCTAAAAGAACATTAGATACAGCTTACACTCTTAGCTTTTAAATAAAACACAACACTCTTAAAATAATATGCTATAGCTATGTATAAAGTCTTTTAAAAGAAAATAAATAACTTACGCGCTAAATAACTTTTATAAGCTAATTCTATAGCTAACTTATAAAAGCTAGGTAATAATAAGAAGCATGTAATTATTAAGCCTATGCTTAAGCTATATGCGCAAGGATTTTCCTTTTAACTAGCAGCTATAGCTAATATAGCTAATTCTTTACACGCTAAGCATAATCTAGGCTATGTTAGCATAAACTAGCCTAGTATATTTATAAAGTGTTATTTAAAGCTTAAAGTAAAGTTTTAAGCATAAGTATAAATAATAAATATTTAGCTTATAATAAAGCTTATCTTACTAAAGTTATATATGTTATTATTCTAGATACTATACTTAGCTTTTATATTCTTTATAAGGCTAAACCTGCTTTAAATTACTCTAAGACTCTTATAAAAAGCTCTTTTATAGTTATACTACACTTAAATATTACTTTAAGCTCTAGATAACACTTTCTAAACATACTAGGCTAGTTTATGCTAACATAGCCTAGATTACACTTAGTGTGTAAAGAATTAGCTATATTAGCTATAAATGCTATCTAAAAAGAAAATTTTTTCGTATATAGCTTAAGTATAGTCTTAATAATTACCTGCTTTTTATTATTGCCTAGCCTTTATAAGTTAGCTGTAGAATTAGCTTGTAAAAGTTATCTAGTGCTATAGTTATTTATTATTTTTTAAAAGTTTTATGTCTTATTTAAAAGCTTAGAGTGTAAGCTATATCTAAAATTCTTTTAAAGTGTCTAAGTAGTGTTATTAGAAATGCATTAGCGTAGAAAAAGTAGTTTGGTAGGGTCTTAGTAAAAGTAACTTAGGTGTGTAAGCAACTTACCTGTAAAGTACGTTAACCACTAGCTAAGAGGAAAATTGTTACGTATATAGCTTAAGTATATGCTTAATAATTACCTACTTTTTATTATTGCCTAGCTTTTATAAGTTAGCTATAGAATTAACTTGTAAAGTTATTTAGTGTGTTAGTTATTTATTATCTTTTAAAGAACTCTATACATAGCTATAGTATATTGCTTTAAAAGTGTTACATTTTATTTAAAGGCCTAAAGTATAAGCTATATCTAACATTCTTTTAGCATATTTAAGTAGTATTGTTAGGAATATATTAGTGTAAAAAAGTAGTTTAGTAGGGTCTTAGTAAAGGTAAGTAACTTAGGTGTGTTAGCAACTTACCTATAGTATACGTTATTATAAATAGAAATAGTCTTTACACGCTTCTGTTTAAGAAGGATATTAGATATATTGCTATACCTAGATCTATGTCCTATATATAAGAATAATTACAACCTTCTATTAGAGATAGAAGGTTAAGACTATATACATAAGGTGATTACAAGCTTCTTTAGAGTAGTTGCATTCTAAGCTTATAATTACTTTACTAAGTCTTATAATTACATTGCTAAGTCTTGTAATTACTTTGCTAAGTCTTGTAATTACTTTGCTAAGTTTTATAATTACTTTGCTAAGTCTTGTAATCACTCTGCTAAGTTCTCTAGTATGCGCTATACCTAACCTAGAGCATCACGTGATGTGACATTTGCAGGCTGTACTCTTACTAGCGTTAGTCTATTCTTCATCTATAGAGTTAGAGACCTGTATGTTCCGCTAGCCTAACTAGTAGTTGTAACATAGTGTTAATAAAAATAGTAAAAAGATTAACCTTTAAAAGTATAAGTATTAATATTAAATTTTTTAAATAGTGTTTAATACTAGTTTACTATAGACTTTAAGCATATTACTTATACTTTAATCTATAAACTTATTACTACTTTTAATAATGTAAACTTCTTCTTTACTAAAAGAATTAACAGAAATTCTTTACTATAACGTACTTTACAGGCAAGTTGCTTACACACCTAAGTTACTTACTTTTACTAAGACCCTACTAAACTACTCTTTTTACACTAATGCATTCTCTATAACACTACTTAGACGCACTAAAAGAATGTTAGATATATAGAATTTAATATAACAGTCTTTTTTTTAATTAATTATAGCTATACTGCTTAAAGAGTAATTATTTCTAGTTTTTACACTTACTCTTATAATAATATCCTGTTTATAACGTGTTTAAAACTAGTTTAAAACTAGTCTAGAACCAGTTTACATTTAGTTTAGAACTAGTTTATAGTTAATCTAGATAGTTTATCGCTAGTAAAGAACTAGTTTATACCTAGTAAAGAACTTGTTGTATATATTATCCGCCTATATATATCCTTCTGCTATGCTAGCTAGAAGGTTCACCTTTTAGCAACGCAACAGAACTAGTCTAGAACTAGCCTAAATTAGTCTAAACTAAAACTAACATTAAGAAAATTAATCTTAGCTCTAATATACACTAAAACTAAAACAAAAGCTATAAATATGCTATATAAATGTAAACATAGAAGTAACTAAGATTGTATTTAAAACATATTTAAATCTACTATCTAAATTGTTTACTATCTAAATTCTTAAGTAAATAAGAAGGAAAGTAGTTACTTATAAAGTAAAGAGAATGCTTACAGCTTAGATTTACTATTATATAGCCTTTTTTTATAAGGTTATTAGTACTATATATTTATGTTTTATACCTTGTAGTTACACTTACTTGCCTTTTAATTTCCTGCCTTACATGTGTTGTGTAACGTTTTGTATGAATTGTAACAGCACAGGCAAGACAACGGGTCCAAATGCGGTATGAATCTACTCAGAGGCATATGGGAGTGCGTGGGGACTTAGGAACCTGGGAATTCTATTAACATCTATAGGCTTTGTACAAATGATATTAGAAGACTACTAAGCTAGCTACAGGGGAGAGGTGCGACTAAATACTTAGGGGAATAGACTCGTTATATATACTTACTTATACTTATTATTAACACTAAGTTATCTGTTAAATAGGTTAATAGTAGAGGAAAGAAGTGAGAGAGGCGATGAGTGGACGTATATTAGATGCTAGCCTATGCGCGAGGCGAGACGTCTAATTATGTCATCCAAGCTTCCAAAAAGGAAGGCTAATACCTGCTCGTTGTTCCCAGCTTAGATGGACAAACATTCCAGAAACACAGCTATCAAAACGCCATCTATCTAATACACTGCCTCTAGCACCTACCCATGATGACTTCCACCAACAACTTTCAAAGCATAGACAATCTGATCCCAACATTCCGAGGTCCTCGATATTCTGAGTCCCGTATGCTCAAACGATCGTAACCAAGGTATACTCAGATTCCGAGTTCGCTCTCTCTATATCACGTCATTTTCTCCCCCTCGAGATCAATATTACGAGAGATGGGCTTTTCTGCGCCCCAATAGGATGGGGAAACGGGGAAAACTCACTGTCAGCCTCAAAGAGCGACTTCTGCCTCTTCTTCTCGCGGCGAGATGGGAACGATGAGTCAGGCCCCTGCAGCACACGGCCTGGGTGGTAGACATGGAAGACAACAGTGGCTAGGAACATGGGCAGCGTGTCGAGGCCGTACTGCCAGCCCTCATGCGTCGTGAGCTCCTTCGTGACAGCATTGCCAGACTTGCCCGAAAACTCTACAATGCGGTAGATGACGCGGACCTGGGTTTAGAATTAGCCGCATCCTTGAATAGATGTGTTGGACGGCGAGGGAAAGGAACGGAAATGACCCGGGCATTGGATTTGTATTCTATACCGTGATCAGAAAAAGCACGCCAAGGAGTAGTAGAGTTAGGGTGCGCGCGCCTTTGGCGTCGGGCTTGGTGCTGCGGACGCGCAGGTTGCGCAGGAACGCTGTAGTGAGAAGGATGAAAAGACAGATGAAGACCTGTTGTAAAACGACGCCGATTGTGTAGATGTCACGGCCCTGCTGCACAACAGACCTATCGTCCTTATTGGTGGCTTTGAGGGCCCCGAGAAGCTGTACAACGAACGCACTGGATGTCCTGATCAGTTTTGCATCTTAGAGAAACGGCAAATACCCACAGTATGTCGAGAAATACGAAGAGAGCGGCTAGCCATGAGCCCTTCACGCGGAAGATGCGGTGATGCGGCAGGAACATGTGCACCAGACGGGCCATGACCATGAAGCAGAAGGCGTTGATCCAAAGTGGTGCTAGAAGAACCAGACAGTAGGTGACATTGTTGATGGCTTCGTTAGTGGGATTCATGATGCCAATGCAGCGAATGATGAACGCAAGTGTCTGCCAGATGGCACTCATGATGAGCACCCATGTGTAAAAGGCACGGTAGTGTACCGCTTGCAAGCAATGCCCGAACAACGTCAGACCAAAAAGTATGGCAAACAAAATCGACGCGCCCATGGAAGGGCAATACGCGAATTGGAGGTCCGGAGTGTCGAGGGCTGCGTAAAGTCAGCGCGACATTTCAGGGACAGTAATTGCAACCATGAACTTACGCAGACACTTGTAAAACATGATGACGGTGATTTGTTGTAAGACTTCTTGCGATTTTAGTGTGTAGTTAGAGTCGGTGCGAGGCCGTATTATACAAGTTGTGGGCCAAGAGCGCAGCTTCGCCACACAGCAACTTTCTGACGTGAGAGATGGAATCATATCGGTAGGTAGTAAAAAGTAGGGCCGGACTGCAACACCCAGCTCCCACACCTCTCTCACTCCGCCATTATGTCGTGTCCGCCCTCTTTGGATCGAGCCTTTGGGCCAGGCGTAGACCATTGCCGCCGCGCTTTCGATTTCACCCAGCTGTTCGAAGAATGCATCTTCAGCATCGCGCCGTCCGCAATGCTGATCCTAGCGGCCACGGTACGCACTGTCGTTCTGCAGCGTGCACGACCACGAGTGACAGATACCAGCATGCAAGTGCTGAAGTTAGTCGTCATAGTATGTTTTGGTGCGGTGCAATCAACGATTCTACTATTGCGCTGCCTCGATGGCACCGGGCGAACACCAACAACTATCGCAGCCGCCGCAACTGCCGTAATCGATGCGGTGGCCATGGTATGTCTGTCAACGTGCGAGCATTCTCGATCGATTCGACCATCGTCGGTCCTCGAGGTCTACCTCTTCTTCACACTCATTTTCGATGGCGCTCGCACCCGAACCGCGTGGCTGATCGGCCAGGACGATATATACCCCATCCTCACGACTACGGGCATCGCTATCAAACTTTCTCTCCTTCTTCTGGAAGTCCGCGGAAAGGCTGGACTCAGTCTTGAAGATGCCAACCGAAGTCCAGAAGAGAGGAGTGGCGCGATCGGGCAGTCACTTCTCTGGTGGCTTGTTGGCCTCGTGCGCACCGGATACCGCAAAATCCTTACTCTGTCAGACCTCTTCCTACTAACCGATGAGATGAGATCGGAGGCTATTGGTGCCAAATTCGATCAAGCTTGGATGCAATGTAAGTTTAGCACTCCTTGACCAGCGCTATGGAGAAATCGACGGGCCTAATTGTCGCAACAACAGATCTCATCAAGCCCAAATCGGCTCTATTGCGCAGCCTCTGGCAGACTCTGCGGTTCCGTTTGTTGGTGCCGGTGCTGCCGAGGGTTGTGCTGATTGCCCTGACTTACTGCCAGCCGCTGCTGATCAGGCGTGTTCTCTTGCTCCAGAAGGAGTCCGTTACAGATAGTAGCCGGAACATCGGGTATGGCCTCATCGGTGCATACGGTCTCGTGTATACAGGAATTGCTGTGAGTTCTCTTTCCAATGTTGGTTTTTGCCGGGTTTAACGGCGAATCTTTTGCAGGTTGTGTCCGCGAGCTACTGGTTCCACATGGCCAAAGCCACGACTCTCGTCCGTGGAGCCATTGCTTCAAAGGTGTACAGCAGAATCAATGATCTGAGCATCGTGAATCCGGACGATTCGGCAGCCATGGTATTGATGAGTACCGACGTGGAACGTATCGTCATTGGAATGAATATGATGCACGAGACTTGGGCCAACGTCGTCGAGGTTGGCATTGGTATCTACTTATTGCAGCAGCAACTTGGTATGCCCGCATTCGTCGCACTGGGGGTGGCACTGGGTAAGCCTACAGTAGATTCGAAAATGTGAAGATTCTGACTAGATGATACAGCCTGTGCAGCTTTCGCAGTTGTTCTGGGATCATCCGCTGGCCGACGCCAGAAGTACTGGATGGAAGCTGTGGAGAGACGAATCAGTGAGTTACTCTGTATCCATAGAAGACAAATCGAATTGACAAGGAACCAGGCGCAACCGCCAGCATGCTCAGCTCTATGAAGAGCGTCAAGATGCTCGGGATCTCGAACCAATTGGGCGCCGCCATCCAAAAGATGCGGCTTGATGAGCTCGAATCCGCGACCAAGTTTCGCGTTTTGCAGATCGTGATGATCACCTTGTGTAGGTCTTTTTGATATGATGTTCCGGCAGACAAGGTCTCAAACTGACAGAAAGGACAGCATATTTCCCACAAACCCTCTCGCCAATCTTCACATTCGCTGCGTATACACTGCGGCCGGGCGAACCTTCGCTAGAATTCTCGCAGATGTTCACCTCTTTATCCATTCTCAACATTCTCGCCGGGCAATTCACGCAGCTTTTCCAGTCTATCCCCGCCATATTTGCCGCACTGGCTTGCCTCGGGCGCATTCAGACCTTCCTCCTCGCACCGGATCGCCACATCGACAATCGTATGAGCGGCTCGCTGCTGCCGATCATAAGCTCAAGCAACTTCTCGCTGGACAGCATGATCAGTGACCTGCTCACAGACTCGCCTGGGCTAGACGCCTTTCAGAACCGGCTGAAGAAGTTCACAGCGCCGCTGCCACCGCTCAACGAGCGCTGGGACGCTGTGCATCTGAAAGGTGCCAACTTCGCGTGGTCGCGGCGACGCGGATGTGGAGGACAGGAGAAGGTAAGGAAGGAGGTGCTTCGCAACATCACGGCTAATTTGCCCGCCAACGCACTCACGGTTATTGTTGGTCCTGTGGCCAGCGGCAAGTCGACACTGCTAAAGGGCATACTTGGGGAGGTGTACAACACGGCTGGCACGGTGTGGGTGGCATCACGCAATGCCGCCTTTTGTGACCAGACGGCGTGGCTGCGTAACGCCAGTGTGCAGCAGAACATCCTGGGCTACAGCCTCTGGGACGCGGAGTGGTACGCCGCGGTTGTGAAGGCATGCGCGCTAGAGCAGGACCTTGAGAGGCTACCCCTGGGGGACCAGACCATGGTTGGTAGCGAAGGCATCGCGCTGAGTGGGGGGCAGATACAACGAGTGGTGAGTGCCCACCGTGATCAGACCTGATGATAGGTGACTAACCATACAGGCAATTGCCCGAGCTGTATATGCAAAGAGAGACATGGTTGTCTTTGACGACGTGTTGAGTGGTTTGGACAGCACAACCATGAACAATGTCATGCATGCCCTGTTTGGTAAAGAGGGACTCCTCCGCCAGTCCAAGACGACTGTTTTGCTTGCGACCCACTCTGGTATGCATGCTTGATTCCGATGAAAACCTGAAAACTCACTTATGACTCCCAGTACATGTTCTTGAGTATGCGGACCACATTGTCGCGCTCGGGAGCAACGGTAGCGTTTCTGAACAGGGTTCCTTTCCAGAACTGCGGTCCCGACATGGCGGATACGTAGAGCGGCTCTGCAGGACAGTAGAATACACTGACAGCGATTACGAAGATGACGAGGACGGTTTTGCCGCACCGTCAGCTCCAAGAGCGGCGACACAACAAGGCATCGCGGCAACTCTGCCGATCGCTGCCGCCGCCAGGCTGGAAGTACCTGCGGCTGATGCGCCCAACAGGCAGATGGGCGATCGCAAAGCGTACCGACACTATTTTCTCGCCACAGGCGTACGCAACACGGTGATCTTCATCATTGCGGAGCTTCTCTTGGTCTCGTTCGAAGTCGTGCCCCAAGTCTGGCTCAGTCGGTGGGCCGACGCCACCAGCACCCACAGCTACCGTGGTGCGGGTTTCTACCTGGCTATCTACGCGGCGCTGCAGGTAGGCTTCCTTGTCTCGCTCTTCATTGGGGCACGCCACGTCGCGAGCACCATGGTCGTGCGATCCGGTCGTTGGCTACACGCGCAGCTCGTCCGCACCGTCAGCGCCGCGCCGCTCTCCTTTTTCGCATCAACTGACGCGGGCATCACGCTCAATCGCTTCAGCCAGGACGTGCACCTGTTGGACACAGAGCTGCCTGTATCACTGCTCCTTCTCGGCGCTGCGGCGCTGGGCACGCTGGCGCAGGCAGTTATCGTGCTGGTGGCAGCGAACTATGTTGGCGCGGCTATGGGGCTTGTTTTTGCCGTTTTCTACGTGGTGCAGCGCTGCTATCTGCGGACGTCACGCCAGCTACGCTACCTTGACCTTGAGGCCAAGAGCCCGCTGTACTCGCTCTTCCTTGAAGCTCTGCGCGGCCGCGCCACAGTGCGCGCCTTCCGCTGGCAGGACGAGTGCCAGGCCGAGTTCCTGTGCGCCCTAGACGACTCGCAGCGCCCTGTATACCTGCTGGCCAGTGTGCAGCAATGGCTGGCGCTGGTCCTGGGTCTGATCACCGCTGCTGTGGCTGTAGTGTTGGTCGCCATCATGGTGACATTGAAAGAGAAGGGCACGACAACGGCCGGGCTGGGCGGTGTGGCGCTGTTGAACATGATGTCGTTATCGACGAACCTGATGCATGCGGTCGTGACCTGGACCAGACTCGAGACTTCGATCGGTGCTGTAGCAAGGATCAAGGACTTCGCAGAGCAGACGCCCGCAGAAGTCATGCCCCGTGAAGCCGTCGCGCTGCCAAAAGACTGGCCAACCGCTGGAGCTGTCGAGTTTAACGATGTTGCCATCTCATACAAGTAAGCTCCTTCCTCATCAATTCTCCTCTGAGAACAGTCAAACTGACAAGCTGGTTTGGCTAGGGTGAACACAGAGCTGGCGCTAAAGGACATCACCTTCAGCGTTAAGCCCGGTGAAAAGGTCGCCATCTGTGGCCGCAGTGGAAGGTGAGCATGAAGACTCAAACCCCCATGGAAACACCAAGTGAAAACATGCTAATGTTTCCCTTCTTCCCTTCACAGCGGCAAGAGCACTCTCATCTCCAGCCTCTTTCGCCTCGTTGATCCCAGCACCGGCAATATCGCCATCGATGGCATCGACATTTCGGCAATCCCGCATGATGCCCTCCGCGCCTGTCTCGTTGCGCTCCCGCAGGAACCTTACTTCGCGTCCTGGGCTAGCGTCCGCTTCAACGCCGACCCGCTCGGTCACGCCACGGACGCCGCCATCACACAGGCCTTGGAACGCGTGGGGCTCGCGGACACGCTGCTCGGCGCGACGAGGCGCCCTGGGCCTGGCATGGGCCTTAACGCCCAGATGGACCTGGAGATGCTATCACACGGGCAGCGGCAGCTGTTTTGCCTAGCACGAGCGATGCTGAAGAAGCGCGTGGAAGGCGGCGGCGGCGTGCTCGTTGTGGATGAAGCAACCAGCAGCGTTGATGGCGAGACGGACAAGCGCATGCAACGCATCCTGCGCGACGAGTTCGGCGGCCCAGACTGGACGTGGCTGGTCGTCGCGCACCGCGTGGCGACTGTACTAGACTTCAATAAAGTCGCTGTATTCGAACGCGGTAGGCTGATTGAGTTCGACAAGCCAACAGTGTTACTGGAGAGGCCGGGCGGGTCGGCGTTCCGACAGCTGTATATGGAGTTTGGGTCAGGATGAGTGGTTATCTTACTCAGCATTTAATGAACAGTACAAACTTTCTATTTCTTCATCTTTGCACAGCGCTGTATTTACCAAGTGAGGTAGTACAGGGGGTTGGAAGTCATAACGTCACATTGCTTTCAGAGGGTTCGATCCAGGATGTGTTGGGGAAGGAGCGGCGAGGAAACACCCACGCAGCTTATCCGACCGTGACTTTAACCTAGCTGACTTGGTAAGCAAGGAATGAAAATGATCCCGTTAATACGTGCTAAACACAGTCACATTTCATTTCAGAACATGTTGAGAATATATTCTTCGAAAATTACTTCATGTGTTCAACTACTGAAGGTTGCGTGCTACGTTCCATAACAGCTATCACGATTGGTCAAAGTCCGCAGCATCGACATACCGATAGAGAAATGCACGATGCTATTGCAATGAGGATGAAATTTGTACAAATCCTAGCCCTGAAGAGGAAAACTAGACCAGTCATCCCGCCAATCTCTGCTACCTTGTTTACGTGGCCAAATAGAATGGAATATTTGTTCAACCACCGGGCTCACCTGTCCAAGGTGTTCACGTTCGTAATCTTCCCTTGCATGCTGCTTAAGTTCCTTCACCGTGACTTCTTCTGTATCATCGCGCGGCGAGCGCTCAATCAGCCACGACCGACCCATACTCTCGGCAAACCGATCGAGGAACATAATCTGAGCGGCCTGGGGGAAAACACCACCATTCCTCGTCCACAGCTTGAGTCGCTCGAGCCGTTTGCCTGTCTTATTCTGGGTGATCATTTCCCAGATGGAGCGAGCCAGCCCCTCATCCACTGCGCTATTGATCAACGCTTCTCTCACGTTGCCTTTCTTGATAATACTCGAATGGTTACAGGCAACCTCTTGATCCTCCCCTTCAAACCGTGGGTCATACGTCGGGTCGCGACCGGCCCGCCAGTTGGCACAATCCAGAGTAAGAAAAAGCGATCGCAAGCTTTCCATCTTGCCGAAGCATTTGTAGATTGCAGTCTCGGACGCGCTGGACTTGTCGCGCATGACTGTAATCGCGAGCTTTTCTAGTACCGGGCACAGAGCTTGGATCTGCAACATTCGGTCCTCGGTGAATTCCATAGTGATTTCTCTTCGAACGCGCGTATTGCTCATACTTTCAGAAGGCTCCAAACTGAGCTTCTTTAGCGTCGGTCCATGATGGATCAAGACAGCCTCTATCATTTGTGGCGTTATGGGCCCATTGATAGTCAGCTCCTCAAGAGAGTCGATAGCCTGGAAAAAGGAGATGGCATTCTCACTGTAGTGTGGTTTTTCGTTGTAGTCGTCGTTGCGATTAAGATTGACGAAGAGCGTTTTCAGGTTTGGGAATAAATTATTCCGAGCAATCCATGCCATAGTCTCACCCGTGATTCCACACGTCCTTCTTTCGTGGCCGCCTCCGATGACGAGGTGTTGCAGCTTATCAAAATCCGTATGCTTAGCCCAGTTCTGTAGCATGGCTGTGGTCCCGCAATAATAGAGTGACAGTGATGTTAAGGACCCAGTCACCTCGCCGGAAAAGCCTGGGAGGCCTTGCCACAATAGCTTTTGCACGCTACGTCGACTAGAAGCAAGCTGTGAGACGATTTCCGCAATGGAAACCTCCTTGAGATTGGGGGCAAGCCCAGCGGCAAGTTCCATCACGGCGTCCATGTTGTAATCGAAGTTGCCATCTGAATCTTGATCAGTACAGATAACTCTGACTCTGTATAGAGATGGGGAAGTGGCAAGCTCCATCTCGTAAGGATAAGGGACCCCCCACAATAAGGTTCGGAACCGGAACGTGAGATGATGAAGTCTGCATAAAGGATGCTTCTCGTGGAGGGCCCTGAGAAGACTTGGCGGCAGTTGACTCTGGCAGTCATAGATTAGGTCTCTCAGGCCGTTTGTCGCTTCGAGCAGGCTCACAAAGGGAGCCCATGCCATGTCTTCTTCAGAAGACTCCTTAATGACGCCTTCGTCGTAGACTACAAATCGGTAACCTGAGTCCACGAGCTCTTCGTCATCCAGTATCTCGGCAAGGCCAGATTTTTTGAGCCAACGCGTATCAGGGTTATATATGTCCGTCTTTTTGGTGTTGAGGCGTAGAGCACCTTTGATGGTTATACTTTGGACGTGGCGAGCGGAATCCGTGCGGAAGAGAGCCTCGACAAGTCTGCCGGCGTCGCGCTGCAAACCTTCGCGATCCTGGATCATGACACTAATCTTCCGAAAAATGAGAAACGTTGCGGCCCTGTGGCAAGTCTTGCTTGCTAGACTGAAGGCGAAAAGGCTAGGTCGATGCATTATTTCGACCCAATCTGCTATCTGCTGCGCTGTCTCGAGTGGCAGAGAAGGCATGGTGATTTTAGTAGTGCTCATCGTTGCGTTTGGTTAGACAGAATGATGCAAGAAAATCGGATGTATCGTGTAGTGAAGTTGATGGTTGAGGTAGGGAAACTAGACACTGCCGTTTGCCGTCAGCGATGACACGATTGGCTAACTCAATGTCGTTACGAATTCAACGTAAAATCAACAGGCATCTATACGTGCATGAGTGCAGATAGAAGCATGCTCACAATACTACATGTAGGCACCAACACGGTATTGCTGTTGGATGACGTTTTCAACATCGGCCGCGGAAAGATCGACTTCGTAGCTCCACTGCCGACACCTTCATGAAACTGCGAACCTCGACATACACGAACTTGGCAGGGCACAGCCTTCTTTTCTTGGATCAGATTGGATTGGTAAATCAGATTTGACTCACATCAGCCTCACCTCAGGAATCAGACGCTCCATTAAAGATTCGTGTCCAAAACATCTGAGCCCTGGCGCCAATCAGCAACTGCTTAACTAATTATGACACTCAGCGCAGCCTCAAAGGCCAAGGACCTTCGCCTAATTAACCGAATGCAGCAAAGGCGCAGCATTGTACATCCAAATTTGGCCAAATATCTTCCACGACTTCCTAATCCCGGTCATCTTTCTCCAACCCCTTCCAGATTGTAGGTCAGAATGCAAGTCACGATCGCATTTCCTTAGTAACGACGAGGTGAGAGAACTTCAGGAATGATGAAGATGCGATTATATAGGCCGTACAATTCTCTCCGTTCTCAGAATTCATCATCACAGCCAAACTCATCATCAACAACACCAACAACAACAGCTACTTCAACTCGTCAATTCTAGTCGCATATTCACTCGTTTGTACATTTTACAGCAATCTCCCAATCCATCCGTGAACCACAAGTCGCAAACACTTTCAAGATGGTGAATGTCAAATCCCTCCTCTTTGCAGCCTCCGCGCTTCTTAGCGGAATTGCTGCAGCTCCCTTCCCATCTAGCGGCCTCGAGGCCCACGCCACCGACACCGTTGCCGTCGAGTCTCGCCATCTGAACGCCCCCCACGGCCTCGAGCGTAGGACTCTGGCCCGTGGACAGACTACTACTCCCATGGACATGCGAGAGAATCAATGGATTTACGGCAGTTCGGTAAAGCGCCAGAATCTGGATGCAATCGCAATCACCGACTTGAGCGGCTGTACCGTACTTGTCTTCTGGGATAAAGATTGGTGGCCCTCTGCCTTCCACCTCCTCTGCGGCAATGAAGAGGCGGATGCCCAGGAGGCATATTCGAGAATTGATGAAATGGGCGGGGGCTTGGACGACAACGGCATCTCTATCGCGTATAGCCACCAACAATATTTGGACGCTACCATACGGGGACTCAAAGCCTACAATCCAGATGCCGAGAGAAAAATCATCAACAGGCAGTTCTACGACTGGGCCAACATTAAAAGCCTTCGCCCGGGCAACAGAGTCACTATGACTATTCACCGGGGTAGCAACGTGCTTCAGCAGACCGATGCTCCAGGCACTTCCAACCAGCCCGGTGGGAAGTAGTTCTTAGGAACGCTTCATGGAAGAGGCTAGATTGAAGAGAATAGTAGGATCACATTTAGTTGCCATGGTGTTAGATGGCGAATTAGAATAAATTTTAGCGAGATAGTCACTCTTTTAGTTTAGTTATATTTTCCTAGTTAGATACACTCATTTAGATCACCTGCTTTCGTTCGGAACTTGACTGGATCTCGCGCTATTTTCACAAGGCTTTGTATCTTACTTTTTTACAAAGGTTTGAGATCATTTTAGGGCTGTTTCTCAAGCTACCTCGCTATTAATCCTTCTTTGCGCGCAGCTGCTTTCTGAGCAGCCTCAACCTCTTTCTTCTTCTTTACTACAACCTTCATAAGACGCCTCTCTTCAATCAGGGCTGTCTTAGCTTTCTTCTGTGCCTCTTTAAGCTTAATTGTCTCATCTTTTTAGTGTTGTATCTCTTGTTCTGCATGATCCTTTTCCGCCTGCGTCACATGAGCTTCAGCTACATTGTTTGGGCTCCAGAATTGAGCTCTCTCATTAGGTGCTGGCTCAAGTAGTAGTGCTTTTCCACGCTTCCTACGCTTCGTCTCATTAGCTAGGGACTCTTTAAGCTGGTCGTTCTCGTGTTGTAGGATCTCTTTTTGCACACTGATTGTCTGAATAGTTTGGCTAAGATCTCGCGAGCAAGAGATGCTTAAACCGGTAGACGAAGAAGAAACGCGGGGATTCGACGAGTAGTAGCGATTCTCTTAGTCGGTAGAGTAGAGAAGGGAGAGAGAGACGCAGAGACAGGTTAAGGAAGGACGACTAGCTCAGTTATCCGAACGGAGGCGGGTCGAGGAAGAACAGCTAGTTCAACTACCCGAAAGGAGACAGCCTAAGGAAGGACAGCTCACTCAGTTATCCGAACGGAGGCGGGCCGAGGAAGAACAGCTGGTTCAACTGTTCGAACGGTGACGGGTTGAGGAAGGACAGCTGGCTCAACTATCCGAGAGGAGACAGGCTGAAGGACAGCTGGCCCAGCTAGTGAAACAGAGGCGGGCTCAAGAAAACAGCTTGCTCAGCTAGCCGGACAGAAGCGGGCTGAACTGGAACGATTGTTCAACTAGCAGAGCAAGCAGAGTGGCAGAGTGAGGGCATCTCTGAGCAGCGACGGCTAGCTCAAATAGCGGATCAGGAAGAGGAGAGACTCAGGTTCACGGAGCAAGAAAGTCGGCAACAAGCCGAAGAGGATAGACACAGAGAGACAGAGCAAGAGCTGTTCGAGGCAGACGATATCCAAGAGACGAACACAAGCAAAGGCCCGAAACATCTTGCGAGGATCCAACGTGCCTCCAGTCTATGGGAGCGAAAGAGAAATAAGACTCCAAGAAACATGAGTACTGCGCGAAGAGAAAATGACCGCAAACAGACCACCCAAATTGACTTAGGGGGAGTCATAGAACCTATAAGTCAGGAACAACTAGAACCGGGTAAGCGAACCCATCCTCTGCTGAATAATGCTAACTCGCTAGTAAAAGACGAGTATCAGCAAGCCCAGCTGGCGGAGCTAGATGAGCAACAGCGGCTTGCTCAGTCGCAGAAGAAGAACGAGAGAGACTAGCCAACGAGAACAGGCAGCGACAGGCTGTTGTGGAGAGACAACGACAAATGAATATACAGCAGCAAGCTGAGGAGGCGAAGAGACAGAGGCGAATAGAAATAGAGCAACAAGCTGCGGAGACGGAGAGGCAGTGAAAAGCCGAGGAGAAAAAATCGAAGAGAAAGCGACAAACTGAAGAGGAGGAGAGGCAGAGGCAAGTTGAAGAGGAGGAGAGAAAGCAACAAGCTGAGGAGGCTGAAAGGAAGCGGCAGGCTGAAGAAGAGAGACGTCAGAAAAGGGAGAAGCAAATTGACGAGAAGAGGCAAACTGAGCAAGCGGTACTTAAGAAAGACAATATCCAGGAGAAGCGTACAAGTAAAGGACAATCTTGCAAAGGTCCAGCCTGACAGAGATTCACTTGCCAGCCTATGGAATCTAGATGGTAAGAGGTCATCTAAAGGAAAATCCAAGCCTCTAAGAGGTATAGGTGCCGTGCGAAGAGAAAATTACCGTAAACGGATTACCTAGATTGACTTAGGGCAAGTTATTAAACCTGCAAGTTAGGAACAAGCAGAAAAGAATCAAGTAGAATTAGGTAAGTAAACCTATGCCTCGTTGAATAATGCTAATCGTTTAGTGACAGATGCCACCGGTTCCGCTACTCCACGCTCCGACCAACAGGCAGATGCCTAAAAAGTTCCTATAAATTCGAGATCTATGAGAGGGGGGCTTGGAGACCTGCACATAGTCTTCTAGTCGATCCATCTAAGCTATTAGAGGTAGAAGAGGTAAAACGATAGGCGCTTAAGTACATGAGAAAGTACGAGCGCATACAGATATATAATACACAACTTCGTATGCTAAAACCTCACACATAATTTAAGGATGTCACGATAGACGGGACAAACATTATACTTCTAATTCCAAGATCGCGGATTGACAGTATCGAATTTCCAGCCGCTCTTGGCACTAGCTCTGGGTTACAGAATAAAGTAGCAAGTAGCTCCGCTAACCTGGCATCTAATTCAGAGGTTGAGTAGGAAGGTGAACACAGGCGCAAAAAGAGTCGCCATTTGAATTGGGGCAAGGCAGGATAAAAATTTGGCTACTTTTTTCTCATCCGATTCTAATGACGTAAGGCGTTGAAAGACCAAGCAAATGCGGCCGCACTTTTTGATGAGAACCCACTATGGACACTTCGAAGGCCACGCATTGTGATCAGTGAATGTGAGATGAATAAGTTGACGTTACTTCAAGTTAGTCCCGACGTGAGATAACCCAGTCAGACTCCAAGAGTGCAACCACAATTCTATTTTTAGAGGTACCAGAATTGGGAATTTTACTGAAGCGAGAAACTAGTTATAAGTAATTCAAATTCTTCAATGCGAGATGGCAAAGAATTCCAAGGCCTCCTCTGACCGATTGTTATTTCCATCGTATGCAAAATATATCAGCTCGCTAATAGCAGCAATTGAGTTCTCAGAGTACCTGCCATGTCGCACCGAGTACAAAAATGCTCAGGACGGGCAACTGATAAGAAATTCTGGAAACGAAAGAAGAGCTTTCTGCGTAAAGGCAATGAGCTATACAGCGACTGCGGCGCTGACGTCTACGTTTTGTTACACTATAATGGTAGATACTATGGTTATACATTTACCAAACGCCCTTCTTGGCCCCCAAACCCGGAGAGCGTAGTAAGTATGCCCGACCAAAATATATAAAAAGCGCTAATATAGCCAAGTCCGGAACTTATCCGCTTCCGCTCGTAAAGACACCGGCAGATTTCGCCCAAGAAGCAGAGGCTAGCCAGTTGGATATGAACCCTCATAACTCCTTAGCGTGCAATGATTCGAACCCAAACATTGCCGTGGAAACAGAACACACGTAAGGGCTAGGCAGGGTCGAAAAGCGACATAGAGTAGCTGTTGGCATACGAGATCACACTGGAATATTAAGGAGTATAGTGTACCAAGAGCCGTGAACTGGAGATTAGAGCGTCGACTCTCCGAGGTAACATCGGTTCGGTTAGATTCCTTAGCAGGAGACATTTCGCATAGCAATCATGAGAGTTCTGTTATGAGGTCGTGCATCTCGGTGCAAATCATTTCCAATAGATGTTTTCGTGCCAAAGCAATCTAGCCTCGTGATGCTCATGGCCAAAAGAAAGCACCAACCTCGCTGGAGCCTGTTTTGGGCCGTTGGTGAAATACCAGGTCCAGTTTTAGCACCGAGAGTCTTGCCTGTTAAAACAGGACGTCTAATTTTAGTAAAGGACAGGTTCTCAAAAGAAATTTAACTTGGCAGTGCGTTTTATTACGCCCAGCTACTGTGCCACTCCTGCACTATGTCACATGAGCTGATATAAGGTAAGCAGTTCGATGTGCGAGGTTCTCGAAAGTACTATAAGATTACCATATCTTGGCACCTGACGCCCAGCCCCGCCTGGCGCACGGATTTGGCCCAGCATCGTCACACAGAAATGAAGCTCTAGAGCTTAATATAATTAGAATTATCGCAAGATTTTGTAGAGTAGTAGGCAATAGAGTATAGAAAATAAAATTACGTTATTATCTAGTTACAATACCTTGTAGGAAGGGTAATCTTCCGCCTTTCACAATTTATTAGCTAGGGCTTTGCAATAAGCTCTATAATTAATTCCTCTTCACCCTTCTTATTCTAAGGACTAAGAGAATGTTAGTTTCTTCTTTTTTTCAGCCTATTTTACATATTAGATGTCCTTTTAGAGCTGCGCAGCTGCTAATCTATCTTGCTTATTGTTATCCTTCTTCTGCTGCTTGTAAGCTTGCTCTTAGAGATAGATCTCCTTTGCAGTAGCTTTTATATAACGTCTCTCCTCTAAAACCTACTGCTTCTCTGCTTTCTCTAGAGCTTTACACTTTGCTTTATTTTGCTTTTAAAGTCTTTTTACTTCTGCTGCCTTTTTATTTCTAAGCTTAATAATTTTTTGCTTACTGTACCTTGTTTAGGCTCTAAAAGATTGCTCTACTATTAGGATTAGAAAGTAGTTTAAGCTAAAACGCTTTACTTTTCTGCTAGTGCTTGTTCTTATTAACTAAAGCTTTTTTAAGGCCCTGAACCTTAAGTTCTAGCAGTATATTTTAAGTAGAGAGTAAGTAGATTATTTAAAAAAGCTAGTAAGCTTTAGAGTTATAATTATTATTAACTACTTACTAGAGAAGCTTTTTAATCTTCCTTTAATCCTTAGCTGTCTTTACTAACTTTAAGCTTTTACTAGAGGAAAGTTTTTTAGCTTTTGTGTTTAAAAATTAATCTAGGATAATCTTAAGCTTAAAGAGGTAAAAGCCACAGCTTTTAAAACTTAAAAGGATTATTTTTAGCCTTAAAGATTACTTTTATGCAGTGTTAAACATGCAGAAGAAATTTCTCTTTATAATAGTAAAAAAAGCTTAAGATTTTTTTATAAACCTTACTACTTTATTTATATAAGCTAACGCGAGAGGCCTAAACATGTAGATGTTAAGAGTCTAAAGCGTATAAGTAGAATAAGGCAGATAGATAGCTAGAAGGATCCTATAGTTGTTATAGTAGATAAACTTTATAGTTATATAGAATCTATAGCTATTAAGTATTAGAGGTTAATATTATCTCTATGCCTTTGCTATAGTCTCTATTAAAGATTATCTTAAGCTATTAAAGCCTAAGGTTATTATTTGTCTATCTACTAAGTAATAAGGCAAAGAAGGCTCTATAAATAGCAGGATTAAAGTCCTAAAGCTAGGTATCTTAAATGTTACCTAATACAGCTT